CCATCCCTGGAAGTGTTCAAAAAAATGGGTAGACGTGGCACTTTGGGACATGTTTTAGTGGGCATGGCGGTGTTGGGTTGACGATTGGCCTGATGATCTTAGAGATTCTTTCCAATCTTAATAATTCTTAGTTTTTACTTTCATTAAAAAATAATCCACCCACCAAGCCAGGAAACATGAAATTGCTACTCTCCCCTTAATTGGTTTAGTGGTGGACTTGGTAGTGTTAGGTTAATGGTTGGACTGGATGATCTTAAAGGTTTTTTCCAACCTGATTCTAAATGATTCTATGATTCTATAAAGCAATTTACCAGATATGTACATGAATATGATGACAGGTTAAATAGCCATGAAAAATGTATAGCACATCTTCTTTTTCTAAAACTTAGCAAAGATAAGAGAGGTTCAGTCTTCTTTCCAGGACTTTTTTCTTGTCCCCTTCTGAAAAAGTCAGCACCATACAGGAAAACCTCAGGAGCTAGCCAGATCAACTGAATAGTTTGTTCTACAATATTCTGCTCATGTATCTCTTAAAAAATTAGGGAAGAGTCTAAAAGACTTCACCACAGCAAGGCATTTTTTACAGGCATGTGCATATTTCTCATAAAATGTTTATCAGTTTCTGTGAGAACTCAGCAAAGCATTTGTGTTTTTGAAAAAAATCACTAGAAGACACATGCTCATACTTCTGTGTTTTCACCTAGTCTTCGTATTTTACTCTCACTTTGCTCCTTACCTCTGGCTGATTAGAAATATTGAGAATGAGGGCCCACAGATCAGCTCGAAGTGCTGTTGGACATCCCTGACGAACATATTGTTGAGCTGCAGCACTATCTTGCTCTGCTAAAACTGTTAAGAAACAAAGCAGGTAATGAATTGATTTAGTTTAAGACTTCCAAAGTTTATCAAATTATCAAGTCCTTTAATTTTTACCTTTACAAACTGGGTTTACCATGCTGTAAGCATTAGCTAATGGGAAAATATCTAAAAGGTCTGGTTTCCACAATGCAATTTTTAAGTAGTTTCCTGGGAAACAAGGCAATTGATATTAATAAGCAAGGCTGTACTACCTTCCGTCAAAAAATAGCACTCAGTATGTATCCTCTTAGTATGTATCTATGAATATATCAAGGCTAGTTGCAGCTAGTAGGCTGGCATCAAGTGGAACAACTGCGTATATATAGCCACAAAAATACTCCTGTTTAACTATGAGTGGTATCTCAGTTCAAATACAAGATTGCCACTCATTCTAGTTTTTTGTGTCTCCCCTGTTTTTATGTTAACTATACAAATATCTTCACAGATAACTGCGGGGCAAGAATTTTCCATTTCAGAGTGTACTGTCATGTGCTCTCATTATTGGTATACATACTCTGGAGGATAAAGACTTCCTCAAGAGATTTTGTTTTTCCTTCAGATTCACATAAAACAAATACTCTACTGTTGACAGGTTTGCCTAGATGAGTCATTGTTGTGAAGCTTTAGGCTACTCTGTTGCAAGGGTCTCATCCTGAATACAGTACTGTACATAGTGTGTGATCCTTTTTTCTTAATCAAAGAGGGCAAAAAGAAAAAACATTCCTACGTTCCACACAAAACTTTAGAAAAGACTGTGATTCATCTCAGTGTCCATGTGTGTTTACCTTATTGTTTCTTGAGACACAAAATAGTAAAAAGTAGTTTTGCTATATACAAGATGGGTTTTACTAAATACAATAAAGAAAATTCCTCAGACTTGGCAATACATCTAATATAAAAGCAAAATCAATACATCTGTGGCAACCAAAGTCATAACAAACACCCAACAGAGCATGCAGTAGATTCCCACTGAATGAACTGAGATTTCACTTTATGGTCAAGACTCTTAACTTGCATTTTTACAAAATTTTGTGTCTTTATATATAGGAAAAGCTAAGACAGTCTCTGTAATAGAGGCTGCTCTACACAGACAAGAGACAAGGAGTAAGAATTACATTGTGGAGTTGAATGACTGGCTAAGAAAATCTGGATGGGGAATTTATTTGGAAGAACAGGAAAATAACAGACAGATCAATAGTACCCTAATGAGTTGCTCTTGGATCAGAAAACAGATGAATGGGGACAGGAGGAGGACTGCAAAAGGAGAAGGAAGAAAGAAAGGGCACTGTTTTGTTACTGCAACAAAAAAAAGGGGGGGGAGGACTTTTGGGATGGTATCCACTCTATTTTTTTCTTTGATGGTGATAATGTTTAGCAGGAATCACAAGAGACAGTAACGAGCAGATATTGATGGATTTCCAACATTCCTTGTATGTTTCTTCTGTAAGCAAACTTGAGCTAATAAATGATTATTTCTTTTATCTTCCCCTTTCTTTTGTAGGTTACTCTTAAGCTACAAAAAAACCCAGAACTTCTTCAGAAAAAGTACTATACAGAGACAAATGAGTGAATTTTCCAGGGTGGCTAAGTATTGCAATATTTAGCAAGTTCTGCAGTTGCAAAAAACAATTAAAAAGACTGTTCTGACGCACAGGCGTAAACCCCATTACACTAATGAACTGTGTGTGCAGAGAAGGGAGTCCAGAGGCTTTTGATTTTAAAATGAAATTCAGTAGTGGCATAACTTTTTGGTGATAACTTAACTTCTGTCTCTGTGCTTCCTATTTCATTTTTAATGAAATATCTGTGGAGCTATTTATCTGGTAGCTACTGGTAGACTGCAAATGCTTGCTTTTCTGTCTCTGTCTAAATTACAATATTACTGACTGTCTCTGTCTAAATTACAATGGTATTACTGACTATGCTTTGCGTTAGTCTGTCTAAATTGTTAAAATTCTAAAAGGTATATGTAATTGAGATAGAAATTTACTAAATGTATTCCTAACTACTCACAGTTTATTACAGATGAAAACAGATCCATACCTTTCTGTCCAACACGTACATGTTCATTTTCAAAGAACTCTAGAAAATAAAGGAATAGAAAAGAATAGCAAAATTTAAATTAAAAAAAAGATACTCTAGCTAGTAATGTATTTTGTGTTTTTACTGCACACCACTACATTCAGCTGATTTTTACTGCTAACATAACTAAAAATTAACCTGCTTCACCATCAGTGTTCTTTTTCAAAAAATAAGAAGAAATAATACTAGAGAATTTTTTCTTGTCTGAAGGACACAAATACCAAAGTAGTACTATACTGCATGAACCCAGACTTTCAATTAGGTAAGTTTCCATTTAAAAAGAAAAATCACTTGATACTACAATGTTTTCCACTTTTATATGGCAAGACCATTTAAAAACCTGTTTCTACAGGAATAAATGCATACACAGAAAACCAACAGAAATTATGCACTATTTAAGCTACTGAATACTAATACATTGATATTTTCTCTAATCTTTTCTTAAAGATAGTTATTTAAAAGATGTTTGTATTTACGCCTGTTAGTTGGCTTAACATTTACTGATATTTTCTGTATTTTTGGAGACAAGCAATTTTGCTCTTTAGATCCTGAAGTGTTCAAACACACTGAAATTAATGTATTTTCAACTTAAGGTGATCATTTTAAATCTTCTCCAAATCTGACCCTTCATATTTGCAATGTTTTCTATTATTAGCTATATTTTACTAAGAAAATCACTGCAATCATAGTTACATAACAACTATTTATGGTTTATTATGGAAAAAAATACACAAATTACTTGATAATTGCAAAGTATGCTACTCATTAGTGTTCTATTTAAATGACTGAAGCACAGCATTAGCTAACCAGGAGGCACTTGTGCAGAATCATCAATACCCAGCTGTCCTATATTTAAGCCTAGTTCACTGAAGTCTTCTTTCTGAAAAGAAATAAAACCATAAAACAATTAATGTTTAATTCTCTAAATCACTAGAGATTTATTCTGAAAGGCTTAATGCAAATATTTTCTAAACTAAACATAGTTCTTTTAAATGAAATGCATATATATGAAATATGAGCTCAGGTTTTTAAAGAGAAGAATCTCACATCAATTCTTACTCTAGTTTTAGTTATAGGCCCCAGTTTTCATGTCAACTATGAGCTACGCCTGCATGTATTAAAGTCATGAATGAAAATTAGGTTATCTAATTCCCAGCTCTTTCCCAACCCAGGTGCAAGTTTTTCTACTAGCATAAAATCGTCAAGAGACTTATCAGTGAAGCATTAAGAAGAGCTCTCCTGTTTTCCAATTACAATACTAGTACCCAAGCATTTCCTTTAATTTACAATCTGGCAATAAAGGGATTTAAAATTACTTTGAGAAGAAAATTGGAAGCTAACTGATCGTCAGGTTACTTTGACACAGTACAGCATCAGAAAACTGTAAAATTAAACTACATATTTAAAGCTTTCATGTACAGAAAAAAATGAGTGAATAATATGTACAGAAGTACATTTTTGGCACAAATCGAAGCTGTGTGGCATAAAATTAAAACTTCCCTACTGGCAGATAATTTACTGTTTATGTTTTACTTTTCATTAAAAATGTCTTTTCATAAAACTTTTTTATGCTCTGTGTTTTAACTGCATATTTAGACTGATTTTCACTTTCAAAAGGAGAAACTTACCATGATAGTAATATTCTTCCTTATTGTTTGGAATCATTGAATTCATTAGCAAGGCAAAATAATTCTTACAGAAACCTCTTGTAAGAAAAAAATATACTTACCAATTCTGGAATATCTTTAACTTTTAGAGGAACCTGAATTAGCCCCAGATGATTTCTGAAACTAGGCTGTTCTCCATTTTCATAATTTGGGTTTCGCAGATTCATTAGTACCTTAAAAATGGTAGCTCTGTCATTCCGTGCATGTATTCAGAAATTTACGTTCAGAACTCTTCTTAACATCATCAGTATTACTAACAGTACATTCACCATAAAACCATTTCCTGCAACTATCATATATATAGGCCCAAATTATCAAATTATATCTCAACATTTTCAAAATCAAAAAAGAGCCAATTTTTTACAAAAGCAAGCATATTCTACTTTGAAAAGTATGCTCAAATTATGAAATAAAAAAGCAGAAATAGTTTTTGATATATGGGATTAAGTACTAGCTACATAGTAATGTCTTCAGTAAAATTCACTTCCTCAAAGCCATTCACTTCCTTCATTCAAAGCCATTTGAACACCAAGAGTATATTTCTGATGGCTAAAATATCCAGGATATTCTTCAGTATTATTTTTTTCTGAAAGAATTTTTATCCATATTCTTATACTGGCAATCCTATGTAGCTTTCAATCAAAGCGCTACATAATTTGCTACTAAAATAATTTCTTACTAAATAACAATACACCAAAATATCTTCTTTTGTTTAAGAAAAAAAAAATTACAGAATTGAAAACCTAAATTTAGGATAAAATTTAAGAGACAAGGAATAATAATGTCAAGATAAGTAACTTTGATTTACAAGGGAATTTACAGTCTCTTACATACTGTTAGAATCATAGAATCATAGAATCGTTTAGGTTGGAAAAGACCTTTAAGATCATCCAGTCCAACCATTAAACTACACTACCAAGTCCACACTAACCCAATCAAGGTACACTAGACTAAACTATGTCACAAAGTGCCACATCTACTTGGTTTTTGAACACTTCCAGGATGGGGACTCCACCACCTCTCTGGGCAGCCTGTTCCAATGCTTGACTACCCTTTCCATGAAGAAATTTTTCCTAATATCCAACCTAAACCTCCCCTGGCGCAGCTTGAGCCCATAATTCCAAAATGTTATTCCATGGGTATAGATTTTGATATTATAATGTTGAGCTGGCAACAATTCTCAGTCTTGCAAGTATTCTAATACCATATAAAATCACTGTCAGGCTTGTAAATTAAAAGATTAATGTAAATAACTGCAAATTCTGGAAAGAAAACAATATTAAAAAAAAAGAGTGAACTTCAGGGTGACTGGATAAGGCTAAAATGAAGATGGATTTGCTTACAGATTCAAGATTAAATACACAACTTGGCTGCTAGTACAGTGATGGAAAACAGAATACATTTAAAAATTCCAATACTATTATCACTAACTGAACAAAAGGAGCTCTTTAGAAATGTAATAAAATGGACAGAAATTTTATTGTTGGATTCAGAAATGCATTCACAATTCATGACCATGAAACAATTTACACTTCAGTCAGAAATACTATGAATCTCTTCTACCACTACAAAAGACATTCCACTAAACTTGCACTGAATCACATTGAAATATTAATACATTGATTCTGATTGATAATTCAGTATTAGACTTCTAAGCTTTATTCTGTAAATTAGGAGGCCATCTTAACTCTATAATTGTACACTGTTGTCATGCTCTAGATGATTTGTTTCCTGTATAACTCACAGGATATACAGATACTCATTTTTAAAATTTCATTTTTAATCACATTTTAATCCAAAATCTCCTACTGTGTCACCACTAAGTTCACTATCATCAACGATGTTTATTGTCCATTGTCCATGCCTATTCTAGGCACAGCTGGTAAAGCAAGTTCTGTTTTACTAAGATGTTCTGTGCTTGAACCATACAAAATGATGAGTAATACCGTTATTTCTGACTTAAAAGATTCAGCAATCACCATTTTTATGACACGCCAGGAGGACGAGATGTCATCCAAAAGGACCTGGACAAGCTAGAGAGGTGGGTCTGTGTGAACCTTATGAGGTTCAACAAGGCCAAGTGCAAGGTCCTGCACCTGGGACGGGGCAACCCCCGATATTAATACAGGTTGGGGGATGAAGAGTTTGAGAGCAGCCCTGTGGGGAAGGACTTGGGGGTACTGGTG